CTCACCATGAAAACGCTTGCTGCCTTTGACCTGAGGTTGCTCACCCTTTCGATCCTGCTACCCTAACCCTACATTTTTCTGTTTTCTGGTGAGAAGAAGCTGTTGGTTCCTTCATCCTCACCTGAGGGTGGAGGGCAGCTGGAAGACATGACCTGCACCCCCAGAGACAGACCAGCTCTGACCCGCTGTCACCAAATCCCAGGTTTGCCAAACTGCGCCTACAAGAAACGTGGCAGATCTGGGGGAACTGACCCCACATTTGATACTTTAATCCAATTATGTGTCACGCTCGCCTCCACCTTCATCATGTTAATCTCTTCTAAAATTACCCTCCAGTCCTCTGAATGAAAATACCTCGTTCCTCCACTCCAAACACCATGATAAATATAGATCCTTGTAACACGAGAAAGAGGGTGAGGACCTTGCTGTATTTCATTATTTCTGTACAGCAGCGATGAATTTCAGAATAGCTTTAGCAGTAATAGTCATGCTCACTGATTTGGTACACATTCCTTTTGCTGCTGCTCTTCAGAAGTTCAGCACTTCTCACCATGAGTGTGGAGGTTTGGGGTTGGCTTTTTTTTCCTCCCTCCCTTCAGCAGATTACTCTGCATGACCACATTTTCTTGCCTTTTGTTTGTTTTCAATGAAGGCACTGCCCTTTTTCCTTCCTGCACAACTGTTCCCTCAGTGCAAAAGCTCTGCAGGGCTGGACGACATGAGGATCTTCATCTTCTAGCCTCACCTGGAAATGAGTGTTAATCTTCCCCGTTGTTACTGCATGAAAGAACAAGCCCACAGGGTCTCAAAGGTACCTGCTGTGAACTAGATTAGATAATTAGGAAGAAATTCTTCATTGTGAGGGCAGTGAGATGCTGGCCCAAGTTGGCCAGAGAAGCTGTGGCTGCTCCTCCCTGGAAGTGTTGAAGGCCAGGCTGGATGAGGCTTTGAGCAACCTGGTCTAGTGGAAGGTGTCCCTGCTGCTGGCAGGGGGGTTGGAACTGGATGAGCTTTAAGGTCCCTTCCAACTCAAACCATTCTATGATTCTATGAACTGGTCATGGAAAAACAAAACAAACCAAAACTTAAACCAGCCTTTCAACTGGCACAAAAGTCCCTGAGATCTCAGATTAAGATTCGTTACTGTTCTTTACACGGTTTAAAGACAGTTTTCTGCAACAAGGCAGTGCTCCAGCTCCCGAGACCACTTCAGACTACCTGAGACCACCTCAGGCTACGAGAGACTGTCGTGCAGGAGCACACTTACATACATGAAGGCTGCTGCATGCAGGGCACAGCAGCGAGCAGGTGCCCAACAGGAGGCAGAAGATGCCCTCACAAGTTACACTGTCAGGCTAATAGTCTTCAGATCAACTAGACAACAGGATGGGTCACAGCTGGGGACTTTGGCAACATGTTGGGGGCATCCACTGACCAAGCAGAGCGCCTTGAACACACACACCTCTCTGATGCCATGAGGCTGAAGCGCTGGTGAGCCCTGTGCAGTGCTGTAATCTTGGTCGCAGAAGCAAAGGATTAATTTCTCCAGGTGATTACCAACTGAAGTTGATTTACCTGGGCAAAGATTAGTTTACAAGGCATTTCATCTGCTCCCAGGGTACCTGACCGGAGCTGGGAGGGGGACCATTGAGTTCACACACAGAAAGAAGGCAGTTTCTGGCCTCAGCTAAGGATGTTTTACAGCTGCAGAGCTCCACTGACCTCAGCAATGCAAGAGGAAATTCCTCTCTGAGGTGCTGAGTAAGACTTTTCCCCCAACTTGCCCTTTTTTCCTGCATTGTGTTGATTTTTCTTTTCCCACATTTACTTTCCCAGGGAAGTTCTGCAGGCTCATCTGTGGATGCACATTATCCTCATTTCTTTCCAGCTTCTCACGTTATCACACACAGGATCAAGTACAGAAAACAACTGCACGGTGTGATTGATGGCACCTCTACGTGCAATAAAACAGAACAAAAACAAGCACTTTCATCAGGCTCCTTATAAACTTCAAAGTATCAGAGAGACCTTTCACATCACCCAGGACAACCGAGTACCTGTTTGCTAAGTTGGGTGGAAATTGTGCCTTTCAGGTTAAGAGCAAAAATTAAGCAACCTGCTAGGGCCACGCTCTGCATACACGGTGGTCAGCTTGGGCTAAAGCTGGCTTATTTTATATTTTGATATTATTTTATATTCTCTGCCTAGCTTTTTTTAATAAGTAGTCTGTTTTGGGGTTAAAAAAACTCCAGATTTTTTAATTTTAATTTTTATTTTCTTTCTATTTTTATTTTCTTTCTATTTTTATTTTATTATTTTCTGGTTTTATTTGAAATTTGGCAACTTTAGATAAACAAGGGATTTTGTTTGTTTTGTTGGGGTTTTTTCCCCCAAAATGTTGAGGATGCAGAAGTGACAGACAGTTGCCACTATGCTGGATGAGGTCTTTAAAAAAACCCCATGATATATGTAAATTGATAAAAATAAATCACCAAACTCACTTTTTTTCCCAAAACTGTATTATGAGAATAATCCTCAGACTAGTGATAATAAGAGATGTTTCCTTCCTCAGCAGGTCTGGCCACCTCTACCTCCTACCCTGATGCCCAACCCCACCAGACTTCATCCTAAGGTCCACTCCAGCCAAACAATCGCTCACAAAAGAACAAGAGTGACGGCGAAGGAGGAAGTGTAGGTGTAAGAGTCCAGACAACATGGGGTTAAAGGTCTCAAGCCTTGGTTAAATGTCTCAAACATTCATCTGATGTGTTACCATACTGATAGGAGGAAGTCAAACAAGTTGTGGTCAGATAAGGGGGTCCTGTGGTCAGAGAAGGGGGCCTTGTGGAGTCAGGGCAGCACTTTTCTGAGCCATCTCCCCCGTCGTGTAACCCAACCCAGCAAGTACAGATGGGGGAAAAGGGACTTGTCTCCAGACAGTGCCTGCGCCCAGAAGATGTCAAACAGCAGTAATTCCAGCAGAGGAAGACGAAGACTACCTGAAGACCCTACTAGTCCACCAACCCATTTCCAGAATGCAAGAACTGTGCATGACATCTAATTAGCATGAGAAGTGAGAACCTCAGCCAAGGGAAGGAGACTACCTGCCTATAAAAAACTGCAAAGATCACTGTGAGGTGGGAGCAGCCCACCCCAGGACCAGACACTGTCGCTGGCAGGACTGACACTGGACTCAGGGCTGGTGAAACCTCTCTCTCTTTCTCTTCTCCTCTTTTCCTTCTCGTAACTCTCTTTCTCTTTTCTTCTCCTAAGATATGGACCCCATGCCAGTGGTGAACCCTTCATGTAACCAAGATAAGAACCCACATTACCAACACTTTTTTATTTTCCAAGTTCAGGTTATTTACATTATAAATAAAATATTTAACTAGTCATTTGGTGTTGTTTCACCTTCATTCTGCCCAAGGGGATTTGCAGAACCTTAGTCACTCTCCTCCAGCCTCCAAGGAGGGACAGGACAGCAGGATACCTGAACTAGCAGAGCAGTCAAGGAATACTGAAAGATTTTAGGCTGAAGCCATCAGCGTCACATCTGAATACCCTGCTGGGCTATCATCTTCATTTTGGTTACCAAACAACGATGGCTGTGAGATGACAGATGTCTCCTATGCAGGAGGTTCAGGGTCCCAAGCAGTGCAAGGCAGAGGTATCCTCAGCCACAAGCACGGTACCGCAGCACAGGATGCCACATCACTGTCACCGTCCTTGTCGTGTGCCTGACCTCCACAACCACACTGACAAGAGCCATTATTCAGCATATTACTGGAAGAGGACAGAGCTCTCAGCACTGCCAGAGATAACGGTTCATCAGCACTTCCCCTCCCCACGATACCCCTTTTGCAGAAGTCCAAGAGTCCCCTGCCCCTATTCATTTCCAGCTGGAAGTCTCAATAGAAGCCAGAGAGAAAAGTTGCTTTCCCAGTGCTGTAAACTAAATGCCAGACCAGCTGGGGCAGATTTCACACATGGAGAGGAAAGGGCAAGAGTTATTTCAAAATCCTTATTGCATTCTTATGTTTCTGCATCAAGCAGAAAGTTTAGCAAGAGAGACAAGAGAGACATCCAAAATCTCTCAGCTTCTCAGCCATCAACACCAGAAGCACCATCCCACTCGACGCCACCACAAACAGACCTTGCTCCATGCCCACCAGCTCAGTGAAATCAGGGGTCTGCCCGACACAGGGACAGTCCATCTCCCCAGGCAGCTGCCCCACATCTCACAACCCCAAGGACGAGCAGTCCCTCCAGATCAGCAGATGCCCTGTGACCACTCGTTAAGGAGCTGTGTCACCCTCGTGGGACAAGGCGTGGCATTCCACGCTTGTTACACAGCCCAAACCATCCTGACTGTGCTCTCAAGCCTTTTTGATTTGAGGAGCAGATTCAAAGGAGTACAGACTACAGCTCTAATGCTGATGTTAAGGAGGTCACCACCCAAACAAGACTTTCTGGAGAAGAGGCACTGGCAGGTCTCAGCTTGGCAGCTCTGAGACAGGTGGATGTAGTGCTGCATCCTGCCTCCCGAAGTGTCAGTAAGATGCTCTAGGAAACACCATCAGAAACAGGGTAGATAAAGAGCAGCCCTCCTCCTACGACTTCCCCCAGCTGCTGGCAAGAAAGACAGTCCTCCGTGACTTGTTCAAAAGGCTCTTGGCAGAGAAAAAAAATCCTAGATCAGCCATTAAGAGGCCCAGTGTGACTGACTGCAACAGCTCAGTCTTCCCCACAGAGATGTGTGTACACACGTACCTCCTCAGGAGGTCCATCACCTTTCAAGGACTATAGAAGCTTTATCAAGGGGGAGTCACTACAATGCCAGCATTAAGACTCAACCAGGGTTCCACGCAGTAAGTGGGAAACATTTAATAATCTTGGGAAGAAGTGAGTCCCACTAGGATCACAAGAGTGCCCAAACCCCAAAGGCATTAACCTACAATCCCACACAGAGCTGGGCCTACATGTCAGGTGCTGCGTCTTACCTGTTCTCCAGCAGCGTCATGCACACGACCTCCCGCACACCCGGGTTGTTGGCTTTCTCGATGGAGCAGCTCTGCAGGTTCCAGGTAGCCAGCCTCAGGACGGGTCTGCCATCTCTCATCCCCCCAAACATCTCCACAGAGGGGCGAGTGGATATGATCTGGGTTGGACCCCCAGGTGGAAAGTCCAAGTCCTCGCTCTGGAGGCTCAGAGAAGTGGGGCTGGGGTGAGGCTTGGCTGTGAAGTTGAGGCCACCGTTGGTGTTTGTCGAAGGGGGACGGGACCGCTCCGCGAAAATCTGATGCCTGATTTTGTCCAGGAAGGAGGAATTGATGCAGTCCATCCTCACTAGGTCCTCAATACTTTTGAAGGGCCCATGCTCTTTACGGTAGTCCACAATACTGTTGGCGATCTTCTCGGTGATGCCGCGGATGCTCATGAGCTGGGCTGGGGTGGCTGTGTTGATGTTGATCTTGGTGGCGGAGAGGTGATGCTCGGAGGCCGGGTCCTTGCGCAGGGAGCTGGGTGAGTGCTGTGCCGAGCTGCCCTTGCTGCTCACGCAGATCTCAAACTTCACCTGCTCCAGCTTAGCCGCCCCCACCCCGCTCACCAACGCCAGGTCCTCCACTTTCTTAAAACCACCGATGTACTCCCGGTACTCCACGATGTTCTGGGCCACCACCCGGGTGACCCCGGGGAGGGTCATCAGCTCCTCCTCCGTGGCCGTGTTGATGTTCAGCCTTTCCTGGTTGACGAGGATGTTGCTGAAGTTACACGCGGCGCTGAACTTGCGGCTGTGACACAGGTCGGCCGGGTCGCGGG